TACTGGCAATCTTGCATAGCCATGTGACCTTTACCTTTACTGTCAGTGTCTTTGTGTGCTATGCTTGGTAGCCACTGCATGCATCATTTAAAAAGTGGTGTTATTAGGAATAATACTGAAAATATGTGGATTTTCAGAACGGTTAAGACCCGGCCACTGAAAGAAACAACAAGGAAGAATTGTAAAGAAAAATGCAGTCTGGAACTTTGAATTACTGGTTGAGTCAAAATGGTTATTAGGCTTTACTGTCTACTGGTGTGGAAAGGAAAGGAGATGTGAGACAATATTGGATTTTTTTTTCATTTTCAGTGGTGAAACAATGAAGTAGCTACAGAACTAATTAAAGAATTTGAGCAAATAAGTATGGTAATTCTGTCTGTGATGAGGAAAAAGTATTACAAGCTGCATTACAGTCTAAATCTAACTGAGGAATGGAAAGATGAGACATGAAATTTTGAAAGCTGTGTAAACACACTTTGAACCTCATTATTGTAACTTTTATGGTATGAGTTTAACAACGGAGTTTAGAAGGAGACTTGCTCAGAATATGACTACATTGATAAATCTGTCTGAATTCAGAGAGTTTAGATGATTGGGATAGCCTTGAGCATTAGATATGCTAGAGAATATCTGATTATTGAGGAAGAATTACTCTCAAGAAAGCTGTTGACATGTGCAGAGCTGATGTAGTCAGTGAAGAGCATACTAATGGGAGAATAAAGTTTTGCTTTCTGCAGAGACATATCCCAAATTGAATGAAAGCAACATTTTGGAAAAAAGGAAAGAAATATCTGTTGAAAAACTAGCAGAAAGACAAAGGCCAGAAGGCTGGATATAAATATTGCAGAAGACTTTTCACAAAAGAAAGGAAAGCAAGTCCTGAGTAGGAAAAGCAGTATTTTAACTACAGGAAACTCAATTACTTGCACACAAGTGCAAACAAGCCTATAAAGATGGCTGCTGGAGAGAGATTAGCTAGTGATTCTGATGAATCACTTTGTACCATTTTTAACTGGTTAGCATTGTTGTGCTTGAAGATGATAAATGGTTTGTTTCTCTAAAAACAATGTCCACAGAACAAGAGCAGCAAGTGAATCTGAAGTGTCAAAGAGATCTTTGCTTCATGCAGCATCATGAGCTTTGTAAATCTGTTAACTCACTCAAGATGGTGTCCTCAGAATTATAGTTCAGGGTATATGATAGAACAATATTTGATTTATTGTTGCATGTGTTTTGTTACAAAGTACAGTGAAGAATGTTGTATAGTGTAGTCACTCTCCGGTGCCATATTAAAACACAAAAATAATCCAAAACATAGAATATAAAGACAGAAAAATGAAGAAATAAATAAAAAATGTTCAACTTTACAGTCCTTCTTGGTAAGTGCTCTGCCATGGGCCTGTTGGCCAGGCACAAGTCCCCTTCACTGTACCGCCACATCGGCAACAAAAGTTGCCACTCTTCAGCGCCATCACCTGCACTGATGCCCACGTCACTGATTCCTTGTCGAGTCCAATGCAGATGCCAGTGATGCCACTGGGTACCGCACCAGCTCAAACTCGACATCAACCCTGCAGAGACATTAAATCCAACAGAAAAATGTCTTGCTCAGCCCTAGCATACTAATCAATATGCTGCAGGAAATGGTGATGAAAGAATGGCCTGAAAGCATCAAGGTCGCTCCTGTAGTCACAGGACCAAATTGGACTGAGAAAGATAAATTGAAAGCCCAAAATGGCATATTATACAAAGAAAATCCTTATCTCTCTGGAGATGAGGAGAGAGGCTTAAGTGCATTCACGCAAGTCATCTAAGAATTTAGCCAAGTCTCGGGAAGAAAAGAGAATTGCTCTTATTGGCCAAAAGTGCAATAAGATTAAGTACAACATCAGCTAATGAAGTGCTTGCGAAGAATATCAAGTTGAGCAGCTGCTTTTGACACATGACATACCAGACAAATCATGGATAATTCTTTTGAGTAGACCTCTTCGTGCTTGCAGGAACAGGTATCTTATTGCCATTGACTGTTATCCTGGCTATTGTCGGGGGGATAGACCAGTTGACTTCAGAGACTGTTGGCGCGATTATAGATGTTGACGCATTCCTGACATTGTCATGAACAACAATGGCTCTTAATTCAAGAGTGAAGAATTCAGCTGCTTTGTAAAGTATTGGGAAATTCAGTACCATATGAATTATTTCCCCTTTCACAGTCAATTGAAAAGGCTGTGCCAGCTGTAAAAATCACCAAAAGGATCATACAGAAATCATCACGTCCAGCATAAACTTGTACAAGGCATTTCATGAGTAGAGAAAACCATCTACCGAAGGCTTAAAAAGCAGTCTTTGGACTGGATTAATGTAATGCCCCTCCAACAATGAAAAAAGACTATTGAACCCAGAAGTAGTAATAGGTATGAGTAACAAAATCAAGGTGAAGCAACAGAAAACCCAATTACATAAAACTGCTGAATCATTGCCAGAACAAAGCCTAAGCTTTGGGAACAAAATCAAAGTTGCTGGAAAAGTTCAGCATGTCTGGCAGCATCTGTGAAGGAACAAACAGAGTTAACGTTTTGGGTCTGGTGACCCTTCCTCAGACTGAAGCTTTGGGAAGCCTGGTCAGAACGTGACATTCAGTGCTTTCAACAAGTGTTGGCTTACGTGGCAACTTGGCAGCTGTGTTGAGCAGTTCTCCCTACAATGGTATGCAGTGAATATGTCGATGCAACTGTAGGTCTATAGGGATAACCAGAGTAGCTGTTTCTTCACTGTCAGCTGTGGATCAGAAAAAGTGATCTCAGCACCTGCACAAAGTACAGAACATCCATCATTCATAAAGAAGTCCACTGTTTCCCAGCAATGGCAATGGATCAGCAACAGATTGCGAACAACACTCCCAGCGAAGAGGCATCATCCTTTGTACAAGCAGACACCAGAGAAACATCCAGTGACAATTTACACTCATACACTTTCTTATTGGCATGATTTAAAGACAATGTATGCAATGCATATGCAGAAACTGATGAAAGTGGATTTGACTAGAAGTAACATTGTGTTATTGCATGATAAATCTCTTTATGACCATATAATGGGTAACTTGCAAGTGCAACTGGTGGTCCACACACTTTTTTGGTTTATTTTTTGTGAAGAGGATGTTTGGAGATGCAAAAGTGTACATTGTATACTGATTACATTCTGTAGTCACATGACCTCTATGCCTGCAGTTTATATCTTTGCGTTCAGTGTGTAGCTGCAATTACACATATGACTTGAAACACTATCCCCTTGCTTGGATGAGTGCATTTCCAAGAAGACTGAAGATGTTCAGCACCATCCAAGATAAAACAACTCACTTGATCAAACCATCCAACATCTAAAATATGTCCGCTGCCCACAACTGGGACACAGCGTCATCAGCATCCCTCATTTACGAAATATGTTGCAGCAACTTGCCAAGCCTCCTTTGACAGCATGTTCCAAACCTACAACCTCTATCTCCTGGAATAATAATAATTACAATGTAGGCTTCAACACACCACAACTACAAATTCTGCTGAAGTCGCACATGATCTTGACTTGCAACTATGTTGCGATTGCTTTATTGCTGGGTCAAAAACCTGAAACATTCTTCCTAATAGAATTGTGGGACTATCAGACCACAGACCACAATTGCTGCAAAAGGAGACTCCAATCCACTTTCTAGAGTGGAATTAGAGATAGGGTGACAATTCTCTCCTTGCCAACAAAGCTCTCATCCCATGAGAGAAAAAAAAAGTTTACACAATTTTGGGGTGAAAAAAGAGTGAAGAGTTTGGATAAAATAAGCTTGATCCCCTGTTTTCTTTTTACTGTGCATTCTTGTGTTTTTGTTATCTGTCCATAGAATGTGGTTATCACTGGCAAGGTCAATAGTTATATTTGTTTCTGGAAAACGGTGGTGAGCTGCTGCCTTGAACCGCTGCTGTCCAAAAAAAGGTAAAGTTGCTATAAACTCAAAGGACCATAACAGCTGCTCTCATTTGAGAGACGACTGGTGGGGAGTTTAACCCGAGGGTCACCATGCCTCAGGTGAGGGGTGAGGTTGAGAAGACAGAACCTTCATGGTAACCTCAGCCAGAGCAGAAATGAATCTCTGCTGTTGGTGTCACTCTGCATCTCAAATCAGCCGACCAGCCAACTGAGCTAACCAGCTGGTGTAGGTATGACCCCATAGTATTGTTAGGAAGAGCGTTCCAAGAATTTGTCCAAACACAATGAAGGAATAGAATTGTTTGGTTTGGAGGGAACAATGTGTAAGCTGCCCTTGTTTTTCTAGGTGCCGTTGAATGAGCCTTGGTGAGTTGCTGCAAATGGTAGATGGTACGGATTAGGTCTAATGAATGTTCATAGGGAGAGTTCATTGTTTAAGGCTGTGGTTATGGTACTGATAGGGCAGACTGCATTTCCCTAGATGGTATTAAGCTTTAGTGTTGTTGGAGCTGCAGTCTTCTAGGCAAGTGGAGAATATTTGTCACACTTATAGTTTCTAGATCATTCAACATGATCATGGTGATCATCGAACTCAATACCCCTGTTCCCACTTTTTACCCAACCTTTCTGTTCCCTTCAGCCTTAAGGAGGAGTTAGGTGTAGTTCTTGAAGACATTCAATGTTTTGGCATCAACAGCTTTCTGTGACAGAGAATTCCACAGGCACACCACAGTCTGGGTGAAAAAAAATTCTTTTTTGTTCTGTAACCACAGTATGGCTGCCTGAGCTGAGTTTCTGGTCAATGGCGGTTCCCAGGATATTAATGCCACTGAATGTCTGTAGGAAATTATTTTTCTCTTAAGGGTGTAAATGTTACTGGTCATTTGTAAGTTTAAACTTGCATATTGTCTAGGTCTTGCTGCATCCAGGTAAGGACTGTTTCATGAAAATACCATTTGCGATTTAAATACTTATCAAAGGAGCTTGCGGAATTGTTTATTTTATTGTTTACTCCACTCTTTTTATAGGCCTTATTAACTGCAGTAACGTCTCAACATATAGAAATACACGAAGGAACTGTGTTACAGGCTGTTAGAACATGCTACAATATTTACCTGGCTAGCAAAAACTTAATAAACCAAACTACAGCCAAGGCAACACTAACTCAGATGTTGAATGTTATATTTGCACGAATGGAAAACCAAGCAGTGAGTATTGAATTTAAAGTTGATTAAGAGTTTTAAAAGAAACTCTGATATGAAAAATAACAAAATAACTGATCAGTGAAATGTATCAGAAAATGTAGATATTAAAAGTTATCTATGTGCGAGGGCTTCTTTGTTTGTAATTATAGAATTATGTACATTAGTTTATTTCTGTGATTGTGGAGTTTGAGAATAAATTTGTTAGTGACACTAAATATGTGACAAAGGTTTGCACATATGCCATTACAATGTAAGAGATGGATTGATTAAATTTAAAGTTACTGTAGAAATTATTTTTTCATTTAATTTTATTGCATTAGCGTCTTAGTAAAGTCACAAAGGATATTCTGTGCGATTATGTTTGTTGTAAGCTATCCTTCTTTTTCTGTCAGCAACCATTGACAAAGTTTGACCAATTCATAGTAGGAGCAAATTATTGCAGGTGCTAGAATCTGTACTGAAAACAACAAATGTTGGAGATCACAGCAGGTCAGACAGCATCAGTGAAGAGAGAGTGCAAGCAATGTTTCGAGTCTAGATAGCTCTTCATCAGATCTTCAGCTAGACTCGAAACAGCTTGCTGTCTCTCCATGGATGCTGTCTGACCTGCTGTGATCTGCAGCATTTGTTGTTTTGACCAAATCATGTTCCTCCAGTGCCTTTGCATTGTCATCCGTCTGGGTGGAACAGTCTTGCCTGGTTCCATTTCTGTTTGTTCAGTTGGAGCCAGAGAACCACCTGCAGTTGCTTCTTCCAGTCCAGTGCTATCTGGCATCCTTGGGCCTCCTCCTTTTTCCCACCACTCTCAGCTACTTGGTGACATCATCTGAAAGCAAGCTCACCTTTCAAGTTTATGCTGATGAAACCAGGTCCACCTCAATACCTTTTGACACACCCACTGCTACCTCCTGCCCTACAGCCCTACTGCCCTACCATCTCTTACTTATCATATTGCTTATCGATAAATAGTGCTGCATAGGCATAAATTTTCTCCAGCTAAATATTAGGAAGACCAAAGCCATTATCTTCTGTCCCAGCCACAACCTCTATTCCTTAACCACTGACTTTCTTCTGCTGTTTGAAGTTGAGCCAAAAGGTTAACATCTGTGACATCCTCCTTGATCTTGAGCTGGACTGCAAACCCCATAATCGTTTCATCAACACCGGCTCCTTCCAAATTGGTAACACTACTTGTGGCTGCCACTGCCTCAGCATTATTGCTGAAATCTTCATCTGTGCTTTTGTTATCCCTGGACCTGACGAGCTGAAAGTTTTTTTTGGTTGGTATCCCACTTTGTATCTTGGTAAACTTGATCTCTTCAAAATTTCCCTGCCAGTACCATAAATCTCTCAAGCTGAAATTTTGTGTTCCTCCAATTATCTCTGACTCGCTTTATTGCGCTCTCGCTCTAAAACTCCCTCTGGTAAAGTTGTTGGTCATGTGCCCAAATGACACTGTATGTGGTTTTGTGTTAAATCTTGTATACTGCACTTCCTCCGTAAAGATGGGCAGCAGGTCAGAAGCTCAAATGCAACATAGAGAATAGCAAGGAGTGATTAATTTTCTCTGCCTCATTGTTCTGTTAGAACATGAGAGAAGGCTGGCTAGAGATAGCAAAACATACGGTAAGTGTTTGTACCAGTATTTAAAAAGGAAAGGTGTCAGTAAAGTGAGCATTGGTCCTCTACAGAGAGAGGAAGATCCAGGGAATTGTGAAAAATTAATGCATAGAACTGACAAGGTTGGCGTTTATTGCCAACTCTGATTGCCATTAATAACAATTAAAAATTGTGAAGCAGCAGAGCAGGGGAGAGATTATTGTGTTGTGGTATTGTCACTGAACTTATAAGCCAGAGCCCCATGATCATTACTGATTTTTTAAAAATTATTTATTCATTTAAATGATCAATTTCTTGTTTTGAAAGATTTTTCTAATGCGGTCATAGCATGTTCCATTTTGTAAAACTTGAATTTTTTTGAAAAGCGCTTGGTTAAGAAGCAAGAGTGAAGGGGGTTAAACTAATACTGATCTTGGTTCATGTCTGGTTTCTATAATAGCACCACCTCCCAACCCCCATATTGGCATTCAGAAAAACAGTCCTAACAAACTTAATCTCTCCTCATACCATACCAGGAATCAATTTGGTAAACCTTCACTGCAATTGCTGTATAGCAAGAACATCTTTCCTCAGATAAAGAGACCACAACAATATTCCAGATGTGCACCGTATAATTGCAGCAGAACATCCTTGTTCCTGTACTCGAATCCTCTTGCTGTGAAGGCCAACGTACAGTTTGCCTTCTTTACTGCCTGCTGCACCTGTCCGCTTACTTTCAGCAAATGGTGCGTGAGGGCACCCAGGTTTTGTTTAAACATTCCCCCCTCTCAATTTACTGCCATTCAAACAATAACATGCCTTCCTATTTTTGTTACCAAAGTGGATGACCTCACATTTACCCACTTTATACTTATTACCCACATTATAATTACAATAGAAATGCATAGAAAATTTTCCAAGTTGATATTTGTAACGGGAAAATGTATCACATATATATATTTAAAACAAACTCTGTACCAAATAGGTCAGTAGGGCTATGAGAAATCTATTTCAGCCTGAGACAGTGCATAGGAAAGGGAGTGGAATTGGAGGTAGTTTTACAAATTTGTTCCGGAGGAACTTCAGCCAATTCCTTTGCTGTTTCTAATATTGAACTCCAACCACTTTAGAGCTCCCTTACCTTTACCTCTGCAACTTTGCACCATATCCCTACTTGAACCCTTCTGATGTTGAAAATCTCATCCTTGCCATTGTCTTCTCCAGTATCTGTTTCAGTTGATGGTTTCCTGGTCAGTCTCTTGGATCTTCCAAAATACTCGTTCAAAATCCCATGTTGGGTCCTTTTTTTGATCCACTAGGAGTAAAACATACTATGATTTACTCAACTTTTATACTAATTCTACTTTTGATCTCTGTATTCCCTGCATGTTACCACCAAATCCCAACAACTCGAGCAGCATGCAAAGGTGGCATCAAAATAGCATGGAGGCAAGAAGTTAGACTTCTCTTGGTCACTCCTAATTGCTGTTGTTATGGTCATATGGCCCACTTAAGCTCTTCCAAACACTTGTTTGTTGAACTATAAACATGGTTCCCTAATCAACACAGATCCCAGTTAATCAAAACAATTACTCTAGCTTTTCGTCCTTGCCTCAGTTCTGCTTCAAAATATGTTCTAGTTCAACAGAAAGTTGTCTTATCCCATCACATAACAATCCCACTATCAATCAAGTCAACGAGATAGCCTGGTAGCATGAATTCCTTCACGAACCATACTAAATCCTACTCACTCAGCACCCCTGTTGTCACTGATTTATATTGTCACTCATCATAAACTTATACTTGTCACTCTTCAGATTTATTCATGGTCTCACCCAATCCTATCTCTAACATGATCTGTGTTGCAAACTCCCAAACCGTGATTTCCTCCAACACTGGTGTCTTGTGTCCCCATCTTTCCTCCTTCCCTACCATAGGCATCTGAGATTTCAGCCAGTTGAAACCCACTCTTCGAAATAAGAGAGCAGTGGAGGAGTTGGAGACTTGATGGGGAGAGGTAACTCAGTGTTATGAGTGTACATGTGGAAAATAACTTTACATTTGTGGATGTTAGCACTGAAGACAGATGGGAAAGGGGAAGGTACGAGGCCAAGGCTCAAAATGTCTAGGAAAGCAGGGATCATGGATTGTGAGCAGGCATTATTGTTGATTCTATACCTTCCTGTTTGTGTTTTGTCTTTCCTCTCGTGCTCCTATAACTCGGCTTGTCCATGAAACTCATTTC